TGTAACGTGTATACGAGCCAGTTTCCCTTAGAAAGTCCTCCACGAAGGCATCCCTTCCCTTAGGCAGGTAGCCCTCGAGGCTTTGTCGTAATTAAATAACCTAACCTAACGACTCGATTATGTTTTTTTTAAAAAAATATAACTGTATTTTAGCAAAATCGCGCTGTGATGAATGCTCTGTAGCTTCACGATTCCTTTTATTCGGTCTTTTAAAGATTCTTGCTTCCTGAGAGATTTTTTAAATTCATTGTTTCAACTCTAAAAAAGGAGTTTCCCAGACGGAAAAGTGTTTAGTGACTCTGAGTGCCGTACCGACGCGGGTTCGTATCCCGGAGAAGGCATGGATATAGTTTGTTCATATCCTCATAGAACGCAACGGTGGCCCACCTAGTAGGTGCCTTCATAATAAAGAGACCACTGCTTACGGCCTTTGTAGTAGCCAGAACCCGGCAGTAGGGGGGGGGGAGGATTTAAGAAAAATTGGATTTGTGAATTTTTCAAGCCGCTTACGTGCCTGTACATCACTATCAATCTCTGAAATTTCAGCTATTCCATTCGACTAAAAGTAATTTCTTTCAAACATACAACTATATCTCTTTCCCAGTTTCTATCGATTTTACACCAACAGACCTATATTTCTATTCTGTCCACGAATATGCTCAAGTAAATGTACCTTCGAATTCAGATTTCAAAAAAGAATTTTTATTGCTATCGGGCATAATTCTGAAATGAGTGCTTATGCGTAATACCGTTGATATAAAAAGAGCGTTATAATTGGGGAAAATAAGATAAATGTCAGTTAAACGCTATTAAAAAGACGTCTTTTAAAAATTGTCTCTTTAAAAAAGGGGCAGACCTGTGTTAATTTATGTCTTTTAATTTATTTTATAAGAGCTTGGTGCTACAAAGCTAAATATATTACATATTTTTGGATTCAGCAATATTCGTTTCATTTTTTAAAATCAAAATTGAAAAACCGATCTTTGGCAGGTTAACGTGGTCTTTAATGTACTTGAAGTTAGGCAAAAAAATTATGTTCTACAAGGCTTTCGAAAGATTTTTCAGAGCATATTGTAATGCGATATACAAATTCATTTAGCTAACCTTTTATTTATTTAGAAGTGTAATCTTGAAGCGAGTATTAAAAATGGTCACTGAAAGTTTAAAAAACCTAGATAAATATTTTTTTTTTTTTTTTTTTTTCCGCTAAAAGGAAGATGCGAGATGACAAGTGCAGAAGAGGCACGCTGTGAATAAGTATAAGCCTTGAACAGAGTGGCAATCTGAGAGTTGAGTCAAAGAACTTGAATGGAATCAAAGGGTCGATTCAGGCTCTTCATCTAAATAGATCAATGGGTCCTTTGGCCTAGTACTAAACACAGTAGGATCTCCTAAGGATGCTGCACATTCTATGACCTGATTTTTTATGATTTGAGCGCTATACCTGCTATATTCCAGAAATTCTTGAACCTACGAAACAATTTTAATCCGAGATATCAAAAATGTTCGTTGTGTTCTGTTTTTATACATTTGGTAGCTCGTTAACCGTATAAAATAATATTAAATTGATAGAAAATTGGATTAGACTAAAACATTCATTCGTTAAAAATCGGGTACTCAAAGTGGGGTTTGACTGCACTGTAAGTAGCAGAATAACTTATTTTCTAATAAGAGTAGGGCACCTTTTAAGACAGGAAATGTATTTTTACGCTAATGCTGCCAGAAATTAACAATGACCCTAGGAATTGATCAGTTTCACTATGTTCAAATATTGTTTTGGCAGAAGCCTTCTGCTAGCTGCAAAACTTAGCCAAGGATAAAGCCTGCAGATGGCAAACGCTTATCCAAATCCTCAAAAATTATATTTTCAGTTTATTAAATAAGTCTCACATATATTCTCATTATATAAATCTCGTGATAAAATAATGCTCCAACTGGTAAATAATTCTTTAAAATGGGAAAAAAACTACAAAGTATTTTTTATATATGCCAGGTTCGTGGGTGCCCTTGCAATAAATTAACAGTTTCCTTGAGGTGTAGAAACTAGGATGCCCCCGCAGTTGCCACCACCAGGGATGTAAAACAATTACTACAACCAATAAAATAAATTTTTTATACACGAAAATGGCAAACGCCACCTGCAAGACCAAAATGGTTAAAAAGAATTACTTAGCATTTCACTAATCTGAGGAAAAATATCGTTGCATGGTAGGGAAGATAGAATATTCCAAGAACTGGCGTCAACAAAGCAATCTAGATGCTTTATGAATGCATTAAGAGATCACCGCAAGATATCATACAATCAGAAGTCAAACAGAATATATATCAAAAACTAAGCACGTGGAATCATAAGAATTTTCTGGAAGAAGAAACAGGAAAAATGAACAATTATTTCACTTGGATTCGAACTCTTGACCTCTTGATTGCTAACCGGACGTGCTTTCAGTTACACCACAAAGGCACGTGGCAAGGGGAGAGAAAATATCTTACAACCATATATTCCAGATTTCGAGCATTTATGAATTCACTCCTAAACCTTTGTAGACGCATTTAATATGTTACTTTGTGTTGTAAGCAGCGGAGATTATTTTGAATATATTATGCAAAATTCCCTGCAATACAATAGAATTCCTTTTAACCGGTAGCAACCGGATTTCGTCGATTCCGGACAAGAGTTTGGTTTGGTTAATTATGATAAAGCACAATAGGGCAATCTGCCTAAGGGAAGGTATGCCTTCGTGGAGGACTTTCTGAGTGAAAATAGCTCGTATACGCGTTACACATGGGGAAACACAACACCCATGCAGCCAGCCGTTCGCCTGGAATCGAACTCGTCAGAACTACTAGTGTTCAGCGACTTTACCGCTCGGCCGCTGGTAGATCTTCTGGACAAGAGATTTTTCCGGATACCTGAATATACAGGGTGATTCTAAGTTGTTTTTACAAATTAAGAGGAATGATAGTACTTATCCAGGTGAGCAATAATTACCACATAACATAGGATCGCATTCCACTTTGAAAGGCAGAAAAGAAGAATATTAGAATTCCAACCTGAACTTAGAACAGTGTTGTGAGAGCGAATGAACGATACCAAAAGTTGCGCAATCAGTTTAGTGAAAAACTCACAGAGCGTGCACAAAACGGATAAAAACCGAAAATTTGGCGTTCGAGTGTTAATTCGAGCTCAGACTTTGATGGTAAGCACTCAAATGCACATCTTTGGTTCACAGTCTAGATCTCGCAACCGATCGCAGCAAGTTAATTATCTAATCAAGGGCTGAATATTATCAATTAACTCCAACTCAAGGTACGTTTGATACTATCCCCCAAGGTAGCAGATTTTTCCCCCTTCGCCATCTTCTATCCTGTTCTTCTGAACACAATGAGAACTCTCTCCCTACTTGAAGTGCCCTTCTAATGGGACACGAAGTTCAGACAGCCGGAATACAACTTGAACTTTTCATTCTAATTTCGGCATACAGTGGGAGTTGGTGTTAATTTAAATTGAAAAGTTAATTCAGCCTTTGATTAGATAATTAACTTATTGCAATCGGTTGCGAGGTTGAGACCTTGAGAATCAAAGATGTGCATTTGAGTATTTGCCATCAAAGTCTGGGCTCGAATTAACACTCGAACGCCAAGTTTTCGGTTTTATCCGTTTTTTTTTGCACGCTCTGTGAGTTTTTCACTAAACTGATTGCGCAACTTTTGGTCTCGTTCATTCGCTCTCACAACACTGCTGTAAGTTCAGGTTGGAATTCTAATATTCCTCTTTTCTGCCTCTCAGAGTGGAATGCGACCCTATGTTCTATGCTAATTATTGCTCATCTGGATGAGTACTATCACCCCTCTTAATTTGTAATAGTAATTTAGAATCACCCTGTATATTTCTAGAACTTACTTTTTTATGCTCTGTGATGACATCTGTAGAAACTGTGGCATGTGAAGTTCACCGGTCATGTTTTTGACTTATCGGCCATAATTAAATAAATAATGTCGAAAATCATACTGTTTATTTTAAATTAAAACACACGCACGTGATTTTATATTTCATAAAAACAAAATTAATCATATTTAATTTACCATAGTTTAATACTATTTAATTTCATAGTTTTAAAAATTTGCTGTGTATATAATGAAGCTTCATAACATCGTGCGCTGGCACAGATGAACTTTTCTCGACAAATCTTAAAGTCTACAAACTTTCGTCATCTTCCTACGTAAATTTCTGTATTCAGTCTTATTTTCATCATTTCCTCACTTTTCTCTTTCTGAGTACATCTGATCATCATCTTGAGAGTACTTAAAACTCTCAAGTAGTACATCTGAGTACTTTCTGATCATCATCTTGAGAGAATGTGAAGGAAACAGAATTGTTCACATCCGCTCAAATCTGCACCTCCTTTTCACTAATACTCACTTTCTTCAAGCAGGTAACTAAATCCAAGATGTCGGCAACGGGCGCTAAACATGTTTTGAAACCAAGAGAATCTGCGTCACTCGACACGTCTTTTTAGAAACAGGATCATAGGGCACAATTTACACCAACAGCAACGTAGTGTTCACCTTTCTAAGCATGAGACAAAGTATATCTGGCTCTTTCAACATGCATTATTACCTTCAAAATTTCGACTCATAAAAAGGGATCTGAGTTTAATTTTACTTTCTAGATAAAATCCTTTGTTTCATAGGTTAGATAGGCTTGTTACGCTGGACGGCAGAAACATAACATAAATATTTTCTTCACTGACATTTAAACCATTATATGTTTCTTTATATCATAGGCCTAACTTTTGAATTTAAATATAGACTTTCAAAAGTGCCTTTATTTTCATATTCCCAGTTAATTGGGCGCCAGTGAAGTGAGACTTCACTAGGCTTGTACATTATATGTTTATACATTCTATGTGTACTTTCTCCCTCGTTTCCATTTCCAGTTATATTTACCTATTTTTCATACTTAACGTTTAGTATTTGATTAGGAATTTCAAGTAATTTACCTTCACCCCAGAATATGACGTCTAAAACATTTCTGCGTGGAAGTACCTTCCAAGTTTTCATGCAATACTCATCTCTCATCGAGGAGTTGAAAGGCAAAGGAGGGAACATATCTTTGTCTCCCGTTGTACTACCTTCAAGATTGATCTCTGTACAAGCCTGCGGTTAAAAATAAATATAAATGAAAGAAATACAGTATTTCTTGCAGTGTAAAAGTATTGACTTTTTGCTACACTGTCAATTAAATGCTACAATATGAATGAAATTCATTCGATATCCATTTTACAAGTGAAGAAACAAAAATCATATTTAGGTAGCTGTTAATAGCACTTTGATTAAGTGGTGGTGTATTTAATTATGGCAAAGCACAGTAGGGCTATCTGTCTAAGGGGAGGGATGCCTTCGTGGAGGACTTTGTAAGGGAAACTGGCTCGTATACACGTTACAAATGGGGAAAACCACGAAAACACCCATGCAGCCAGCCCGTTCGCGGGATTCGAACCTCGGACCGAACTACCAGTGTTCAGCGACTTTACAGCTCGGCCGCTGGTGGGCCTTGATTTAAGTGGAGTAGTTCGTGTAGTTCCATTGTATTAATTATTAATTTTAATGGAAAGGTTTAATTTTTAAACCAATTAACTATTTTTATAATAATTTATTTTATGTAACAGAAAGATTAAAAAAGATTCTTATTTTTTATCCGTATTTAATTCTTTTTCTTTTGATTTTCTACCTCTTTTCCGTTATCAAAACCAAATATTTCTTACACTAAATACAAACATTTGTTTTTATTTTTAAAGCTTTTTTCCAAGTTTCTGCGAAATTTTCTGTTGGAACTTTCTGTCTCAACATCTGAGTTCATTTTAAAATAATATTTTTCTGAATAGGAGAAACCATTGCCTTAGGGCTATTTCATGACAGTTGCTCCTTTTGCTAGCTATTGAATAAAAACAGTTTATTTTAATTACAGCAATATTTTAAGTTTTCTGTTTTTATTACTTATATGGCTGGCTGCGTGCATTCCGGTTTTTAATGGACTGAATGCAAACAGAACCGATAATAGCTTGATAAAATTTATTTTATAAAAAGAAACATTAAAAAATTCTGGAATTTTTCACAAAAATACTCGTACAGCTCTTCTTAGTATCACACAGCACAATAAGTAGTTATACTTCAAACTAATAATAACGTTAAACACAACGCAATGCAAAGCGTATCTAAACAGCGAAGCTCATACGGAGATAATCTCAATACTCCGAAGTTGGCTCTGAACTGAAAAACTGAGAGCTGATACTCTCTTATACAGTTTTCACACGGCCACCGAGAAATCTCTGATATCTTCCATTTGTCAAAATTACTCTAAGGCATATACGGTTAAAGTTAACATATAAGGACTGGATGCGGTTACAGTTACATATAGGGATCGATTGCAGTTATTCAGTTGCAGTATCAATTAATTATACAGGCATCGACCAAAATGTCACAAAATGGTCGCCAAGTAGGGCGACATTTGGCGATTATTCGCCAAATTTGACTACAAAAATAAGTTGCCAAAACTATTGCCAGCTTGGCGATATCTCAGCAGATATCTCAGCAATTTAGCAAAACAGCCAATTACCTCAATGTTAATGGACTTGCCCCTGTAATCTTATTTTTCCAACAGACTTTCATCTCTTCAGATTTTCATGTTACATTGTACAAAAGATACTACAATCTAAAACATAACTTCGCTAAAATTATTTACATGTATACAAATTTCGTAATCCTATTTTCCTTACAATTTATCTTTAACCCCTTGACTGTGGAATGAATATATTTGAGAAAAACGTGCCAAGGATGGGGAATTTTTTTTCTCTTTAATTTTGTTCATTATTATCATCAAAATGGTAAAATAGATTGTTTAAGAAAATTAAACGAAATAACAACTATAATCAGTATTTTCACATACGTGAGAAATGTTAATGGATTACGGCAATTTTGTGCTCAAATTATAGCAAAATAAATCAAATGACATAATTTTCAAGATAAATATAATAAACTAATTTTACACGAGGGTGTGTTTCAAGGTCGACTTCTTCATTGTACACAAAATGTAAATCTTTTCTTATCATTTGAAATCTGTCGTAGGACATAACTTTGGGAAAGAATGGCGTTTCAAGACATATCTTTTTTGACCAAACATTGAGACATCGGGCTTCTGAATAATACCCTGTAAAGCATCAACAAAAGACCAACAAAGATATTTTCATCTCATAGTCATTTGTAGACACTCACATTTTTGATCGGCTTTTTTGGCTTCAAATGTTGCCTTTCAATGCATTGCTGTGTATAACTATTAATCTCTTCCGTAATGGTGTGAATCAAATTGTCATCAAAATATTGTTTTTGAGTAAAAGTAGAAGTGTCAATTTTGTTGCACCCACTTGTGGTTGTCGGAATGGGAATCTTGAAGCGGCTGGAGGAAAGTAATGAGTTTCACTTTCGGAACAGTCATACTCTTCTGTTGAAATACTGGTATGAAGAGCTTAACAAGTATTTTTCTTCATCGTCTGGTTCCGACATTGCGAACATAATGCGGTTTGAATGAAATTTGGGAAGAAATGAAAAATTGCAAAAATCCGACAAATGGCTCCAAACTACTGAATATTTCACGGAAAAGTATCGCGATCTATTGTTAAAATGGTAAATTACATATTATGCATTGGACGAACTGAGTTTGGACTTCACGGAATTGAAACACCGATTTTTCTCTTGCCCGAACTCAGGTCGGACATTCCAAAACTAGCGCATTTGCGTTGCCCGAACTGAGTCCGGGCGTCATAGGCAAGGGGTTACGAAATGAAAATGACTTTTGAATCGCTTTATCTCACCTTTTTTTTTTCAATGAAACATCAATCTGCAATTTTGATAGAGAATTCTTATATATCAAATAATAGGCATTAATCGTCGTTATTTCATTTGAAAACAATCCTAAAGGCGATATGTAAAATGAAAGACATTTTATCCTTTACTGATTTGTACTATAAAATAATAGTTACTTAAAATATTAAATTGTTCTGTAGCATATAACAGTTTTTTAGCTTACCTGATAATCCCAAGCTTTGCTATCAAAGCCTAAACCACATCCTGTTGGATCAGCACAGTACAAATATTCTTCGTAAATATCAAAGCACTTGAAAGGCTGCGATGCGTTGTAATAAAGAGCACTTGCTTCTCGGAGCCCATCTGCTGGTCTAGAGGCCGCCATTAATAAGTTACACATGACCTAATCGAAGGGTGAATGGCTCAAGTAAAGCATTTCATAATAACCCATAGTAAGGATAAATGTAATAACAGTGAATGGTAATGAAACATACGAGTTATCGTAAAATAAAAGCTCACAATATATAAAGTCATCATTAGGATCTTCCTGTTCAATTTTTTCCTTTTACTTTATGGCAGTACAGTAAATAATAATTATATCTGAAGTTTCTGTTGCATCTTTGATGGAACTACTAACTAAATCATTGACTTTTTATTTCAATATATAATTTATGCTTGATGTAGTCAAAAACAAACAATACACGAGTTTTAGACAGGAAAATGGCCATTTTGGCACCTTCCTTGTTTTTAAGGCTAAGAGAATTTCTTAATAAATATTACATAAATCTGTTCTTTATTTTCACTAGATTCATTCGATCAACACTTTTCTGGAAATATTACATTTATAAACTATATTCGTGGAGTCGCAATGCAAAAGGATAAAACCTAGGCAGAAAGAGAGGGAAGGCGGAGATAGAATACACGAGATTCGTTTACGAACGCCTATAAATTAAGAGAATTCAACTGTATAATTTTTTAATTGAGCTGAGAATAACTGGAAGTGTCGCAATGAATCTAGTGTTTTCTTATCACAATGCTTGCATTCCTTGTATTTTGAAAGATTCTAAATATATAAAATATATATTGTGAATGATTTGATTATACCTATTGTTAAGATTAAAAGTTATATATGAATAAATTAAGCATATTCGTTGTGAATAAGATAAATTCATTCTGGTTTGAATGTTGTACAAGCAATACATTTAAGAGTGAACAGTTATTAACGTGAAATTTAACACACTAAATGTGTAGGAATGCAAATTAAGAAAGCTCATTTTGAATACAATTGTGCATGGCTTATAGAACATAGTTTTCATACAGACTGCAATAAAAAATGGTAAGACATCTACTATTTACATTTATAACTATCCTCATATTTCATTTAACTTCACACTGAACATTTTCAGAGGAAATCCACGATGCTTTAATTATTTTGGTCAGAAAATTGCGTAACAAAACATCTTGTTTAAAGCACGCAAAAGTCAAATAATGTAAAATAACAGAAATATTACTGGTTCATCCTAGAAGCCATTCCCTCGGTGGCGATACAGGTGCGCACTTTACGAAATATGCCGCCGGGACCTCTCAAATACGCATAGAGTGAGTGTGCTTCCATTACACTACGAAAGTATGCGGAAAGGAGGGAGAAAAGGCTTTATATACTGCCCCTTTTAAAAGGCTACTGGGGATTAGGGCACTAAGTCACGAAATATTGGTGACGAATTATCATCCACCACCTTTTAGTTCGGGCTTAAAAACGCAATAGTTTTTATTTTAAGCCCAAAGGGACAATTTGGCAATTTGACCAAAAGAGCTATTAATTCCGTTTTGGAATTTTTTGTTAATTCACTATAAACGGCGAATCATTTTTAAATTGTTGCCACCAAAATATTAGAGCCCTGTATTATACTTAAATAAATGAAATAATGAAGACTCTACATTAATGTTTGTATGTTTCTCGCATTATGATAAAACAGGTACCTAGAGATATATAATTTTGAATAACGTACGTCTCCACCCGAATATGGGAATCTTGAAGCCCAAATTTGGAGTTTGTTTTATTTTCTATTTCACATTTTGTAAAGCATACATTAGTTTCTGATTAAGAAACTCAACGATTTCAAAGCGAGCAATGGCAACACTGTACGGAAAACACTTTTATTTCTTCTTCCTATTCTATCTTTTGTGTATAGAAAACTCTAAAGATGCGCTCTTTTAAATATTTTGTGATATTGTTCTTGAACTGAATTTTATGGTTTAAGTGCGAAGAACATGATATTTTATAAACAAAGGTAACATACAAAGCATTAAAAAAGCGCCCCTTTGAACGCAATTTAAAATCTGAAACCTTTCAGATTTTTTTTTTTTTTTTTCTTAAAGCAAGAAACATGAAAAATGTGCAGTGCCCTCGCCGGGACTGGAGCCCAAGACCATTCGAATACGCGTGGCTTATGCGTCTAGTTATATCACGAACGCATACGAAAAGCGGGGAGAAAATACTTTATATATATCGGTCAATTTTTATGATATGATAAACTCTTTTTTATAAAGAGTAGAAAATTTCCTTAGTTATAAGTATTCGGGCCGAAGGAATGCTTAGAAAGTTATTTCGTATTTTATAAAATATTTTTTTCTAAATTTCAAAAATGCCTAAATATGAATCTTTACTTAATTTAAAACATTTTTAGAACTGAAAGTAAATATCTACATTTAACAGTTGCGTAAATAAAAGTCAAATAAACACTTTTGTAGACAGTTTATGCACCGACCTGAGTCACGATGCGGCCGTAAGGTTCGCGATTCCAGATGTTGCTGCTTTTATAAATGCTGTTCAGATGTACTTCCATCTAATTGCATTTTCATACATTACGGTTAGCTTACGGTTTTTTTTCTTTGAGAAAGATGTAAACAGTTCTAAACACTGTCTGTAACTTTTTATTCCCGCTAGAAATATAATTGAAAGCTAGCTTACTTTTACAGGATAGGCAGGAAAATTCGAAAAAAATGAAGATGCGTAAGGATAATCCATCATGGCAGCGTAAACAAAAGCATTTCGAATCCACAAAAGAAGGTGTTGGTAATCTTTATAACTGCTTATTGGCTTGCAGAGTCTGAAAGTTCTGGAAATCTCTTCGAATCCTGAAAAGGTAAATATGCATTTTAAAAAAATGGGTTATTTTGTTAAATGCTGCATTTTACTTGAGGTTTTGAACAATACTTTCCTTTTTACGAGTACGATTTAATAAATACAAAATTTCTACACGTTGAAACAGATTTAAATATCCTATGAAGGCATACTTCGCATAGTCGAGAACTAGAATGTTAATACGTCATTTATGAAGTAATTGGTATAATGGTGAAATTTTTAAAAGGATTTCAGAAAAGACCAAATCTTTGGAAGAAATTTTGAATGTTTAACATGTTTACTGTACGGTAACTTGAATAAATAAATAAATAAATAAGTAAAATAGTGCCAAGCTATGCTAATAAATGAAGGATCTTATAATTATTTCATACAAATATATGTGTTTTTATTTACGCTTCGAGGAAAAATTGAATGAAGAAGCCAGAGAGACTAGATTGTTGTTATTCATTCTCAAGTTATATCCCATTTGTTAAATTTTCTCTGAGTAGTTAAAAAGTTTTCGTAATTTGTTTATTTTTTGTTTAAATTAAAGTAATTTATTCAGTGATTTAGAATTATTTGAAAGACATTTCAGTCTAAGAATTTAATCTTTAGTTGTCAATATTTTTGAAATGCAAAGCGTAACCAACAAAAATGCCTTACAAGTACAAAAATTACAAACAGATTTCAGATATTCTTACAGGTAGATTTCAGATGGAAAATAGATGTAAATTTGAATTTTTTCTCTTCCCGAAGTTATTATTATTGTAAATGTATGTGTATAAATATTTATTAAAATTTATTTAAAATGCCTTTTATTTTATGAGAAAAGCTTCATTTTTTGTGGCATATTAAAAAAATCTGATGTGTACACCACATGACTCCTTGTACGGAATATTAAATTATACGCATTTTTTCTTGAATTTCATGTAATTGATTGGATTGAAAAAATCTACTTCGTCGACAGCGCATAAACCACATAGAATAAATGCCCACTCTTAAAATTCCTATATTTGTTTACTATAACGACACTCTGAATGCACAAAATTTATATCATTTGAAGAATTACTATCGTTGCACATGTTCTAAATATAATAAAGCTAAAAACGATGTATAAAAGAAATTAACAAACAAAACAGAAAAGAAAACAGTTTTTCACAGACGATTTAGTATTTCTCATTCAATTAATTCAGTTCTCACTTCGCGACAAGGCAAAAATACATAAAAAACTCAAATATCTGTATTAAAATTACGAAGTAAATCTTAAACACTTATTTCCTCGAAAAACATTCCAGAAAGGATTAAGCATGATTTAAATCGCAATAGTAAATGAAGGCGTTTATTTTGTTGTTGCGCGAAGCTTATTCTCTCCAGATGGCAACAATCTACAATTCTGCTGTTTCAAATGTAAACAAATATGTCAGCCATGTGTTATTTAAAAACTTAACCGCACTTAAAGCTTTTAAATTGTTGATAATTCTACAAACTATTCGCATGCAGATTAGTTAAAGGCATAAAAATCTTAACTGGAAGACAAAAACAACACAATTCAATCATTTTTAAAGCAAAATAATGCGCAATTTACAAACATATAAGAGTAAAGAAACTGAGATCACTGTGCCGGTAACAGAGTGGATATATATATAAATATAGTATTTATATACGTTTGGTGCGGCTGATTGCAACCAAAATACGAGGTGCACATCTACATGTTATAGCAGTCCTATATACAAAATTTCAAGGTTCTGAGGCTACTCTACTCGTTTTCGAGTTATGCGAGATACGTACGTACGCACGCACGTACGTACATACGCTCGTACAGACGCCACGAAAAATTCTCTTCAGAATTAATTTTAAAGCAGTTTTATAATTTTTTTTGAGGAAACGAGTCTTTTATTCTGTCCTTACGTACAGATATCACGCAAAAACATCGTTAAATTGCATTCGATAGCGGTCAAAATGGATATTTTCGTTGAAATATGCTGCCTGAAACTTTTCGCGATTACAATACTTCCTTTTTACTTCGTACAAGGAAGTAAAAATTAATTAGGCAGCCTAACTAACAGCAAATAAACTCAAAATTAACTCGATCTTGCATTCTGCCGTCATACAAATTGAGTTTGAGGCCTCTGGCATAAGATATTTGACTTTCGAATTCAATCTCTCTCTGTTACTGGTACCCAAACTGAGCGATGTAAAAACAATAAAGGCAGCTTTTATGAATACTTTTAAATTTCATTGATGCAAATGAAAATGCATTTAAATCATCAGATATCTAATTAGAAATGTTACATGCTTTTATGAAATTAAATTAGCTGGACTTTTTAAAATTCATTTTATATATTATCTTTTCTTATAATTAGTATTTTAGGCAGCTAATTTGATGATGCTCTACAAATTTCTAATTTAGGTTTTTTGTGCCTGCAGCTTCCATTATTTTAAAACAACAATGTCAATTTCCAAACGTTGCCACAGGCAGTCATTAGTTTCAATTTCTAATCTGACTTTGCTTTTTACAATTACCTCATATTTATATCTGTAGGTGTTTTCGTAAATTATTAATTAAGTTAAATTGGGGGGACTTCAGTAATCACTTTGTCTTTTACTTAATATGTTTGTAAGAGCAATTTCAAGTATGTTTTGTTACTATAACAACAGTTCACTTCATTAATTCGCTGTATTACTTAGTCTCAGTTCATAACACAGATGTTTAACCTCATGAATACAGTGGTAATTCGGTATACGTCCGCTTTGAAATACGCCCAACTTGGTATACGCCCTTGTTTGGATGCGAAAATTTTTTTGGGAATACGATTCGTATTCGATGAGTCATGACTGGGCGTACTACCCTTTTTTTTTTTTATCGTTTTCGAGACAATGCTACGACTACCCTTGAGCGTTAGCACGCCTGTTGCTGCTATTCAGTGAATAACCTGAACTATAACTCTGAATTTAGAAGAAAGTTTGAGTTTTCCCGCGCAATTTGTTTGTAAATTCATTATTAGTGAGGTTTAGGAAAAATAACAAGAAGAATCAAGCAACGAAGAAAATTCTTAGGAACATCATGAGGGATCAAAAAGAGATTGTTGAAAAGTAGGAAGATGGCGTGCCTATTGGAGACTTAGCTGTTGTACACCGTACGACGGGAACGATGTACGGTTATGAAACCGTATTCTAAGATTGTGAAAAACGGTGATGCTATTAAATCGGCTAACGTTACGAAGGAGGTGAAATTAGTTCCCAAAGAAAGATCATAGATGTTAGAACATGTTGAAAAATTGCTTAAATCTGGATAACAGAAAAACTTCTGTGTACAGTATCATGTGCAGTCGTTCAGTTATGTACAGTTATTTTTATATTCAAGAATGTTATAATAATAATAATGAGATTTTTTTATAAGAACAGATTAATTATTTTCGTTTTATTTCGTATTGAAAAAGTTCATTTGGTATACGTAAAGTCTGGCATATGTTTAAGAATCTGAAATGGATTAAAATGACGTATACCGAGGTACCTCTGCATAAAAATTAAAGGAGCTGGAAATTGAAAAGTAAATCGTTTCAAAAGAGCTTACCACTCTGTCCAGCTGAGGCCCATTTCTGCGTCTGGGTAAATCCTGCTCGAACTTTAGCTTCACACTGAGGAGAAACATCTCGAAAATCCTGCAATAAATGTGAATTATTATTTTATTTCTGAGTGAAATTTGTATTATTTTTCTTCTAAATACTGACAAATTCAGGGATTTAAAAGTGATAGATTAACTACATATCTATATTTTTCAATGTATCTAATTGATATAATTTATAGCATATCTAATTGACGTTGTTTATTATAGAAGTGACCAATATATCGATCACTGTATATTATGTATGCCAGCACAAAATAATCCTTTGAGCGCCGCCTGACAACGATATACCTAACGCCTACGCCTCACGACGAGTTGTTTTTTTAATTAGTGAGCTTGTAAAGTTGCGCGCTTCCAACCTGCACGCAACAAAGTGGTGACTGCTATGAATTGGAAAGTATACAAAGTCTTGAGAAGGGTTTAAATCCCTTTTTATTCAACTTTAGAAATTACAGATGCGTGCTCTTGACGCTCACAAACTACGCCGACCCGACGGTAAAATAAAAATAAGGAACTAAAAAAAGAATAACAACAAGTGACTAACTACGAGGCTCTCTAAAACGTAACTAACCTCACCGCGTTCTAAGATACCGCTGATAATTCAGCAAACTTCTGAAATATTACGTTGAAAGATTTAACAATCTGCCGAGGCAAGCACACAGGCCGAAACGCGTGGTTCTTCAATTTCTAACTAGCCACCTCCACGCTCGTGAAGCAAGAAAGCACACTTTCGAACTCGTTTCCCTTCTATTTAACTCAATTACTTCCGCTGACAATTTGAATCCTTTGCGCGTTCTACTAAAATTTACATACTCTGGCATTGGCAATTCCAGGGGAAAGTAAGGCTTGACAGGAAAAGATAGTTTAAACTTAAAATAAATGTTAGTTAAAATAAATATAAACCCTACATTTGCCGCTGCCAGAATTTGGAAAACTTGGAAGCAGGTCCTATAGAAACGACCTGTTGAAAAGTTTCCACAATTCTGAACTAAACTAAATTTAAGAGCCTCGTTTACATAAAAAAAAAAATCTGTTATCTCACAAAAGGTAGAATAAATTTCTGTAGATACTTATTTAATCTCTCTTCTTACAGCAACCTTTCCTGGACTTCAGCAATCAATCTGTTCTCTTCCTTCCAGCATCTGGAAGGAATAAGTATCAGTATCTTTCTAAATACATTATAATTTACACTTTCTTGACACTGAATAAGTTTTTGTTTTTGAACGATTTTTTCCTTAGTTACTGCTTAATTCACATTCATTCAAGTATTCAAACATGAATTTAACTTTACCCTGGCTCTCCACCATGTGTGGTGTCAAACGGGAATATTCGTGTTTTAGTATTGCAACACTTCCCCTAACCACAATGATTTGTTAGAATTCAACGACCAAATAGACACACCTTACTCGACATTCTACAAACTCGATGAGCTACTTTAACATTCTTAAAATTCAAGTGTAGGTGGAGAACCCTACAAAACACATTCATTCTAAATTCCCCCTCATTAATCTTTAGACATGCAGGCTTTCGCTCTAAAGCATGATTTTATCTACAGTTTAATACTTAAATTTGAATTCATTGCCTTTGAGCATTTACTTTTAGCATCTAAAATTTTATGCTTCTAGACTAAATTCTACTTTTACATAACTTTCAAGTATTTACGTATATTTACAAAATTCTAATACATATGATTTTTACAATTTACCATAAAATGAATAAGAGAAAAATAATTTTTTTTTTACTTTACTCATTCTTCGCCAAGCTGGCGGCACTGAAACTAAAGTTCTTATTAATACAAGAATACGAAGTTATTTTTATCTTCGGCCAAATTTTGGCTTTAACATAACAGAATTAGTCTTTCGACCAACAGAAACTGCTTGTTCTTAGATTTTATACTTAAAGAAAATAATACTTTTGCCTTAGCTAAATAAAGTAAAACAAAACTACTAAGTCTCAACCGAGACACATTGACTTCCGTCAAAACACAGAACTTCGTATTTACGCATAACATTTCGGAACAAAAGAAAAAAAAATTTATAGAAGATTTTAACTTATCTTTGAGTTTTCGATGATTGGAACTCCGACATTCTCTTCTGGCAGAACTGCTCCCACGTTATAGATTTCATGGACGTCAGTCTTTCTCCTTAGTGTCCTTTCGAGTGTCGTCCACGTTTACTTTTTCTTTTTCGCCCTCTGCATGCTGGCCTCTTGGAGTGGTAGTCGTCGGGTTGCTGTCTTTTCCGTTTTGCCCCTGGACGGCTGGTCTTGGCGTCCTCCGGTCTGGAATCATGCTTGAATTTCTTCTGTTGGTGGTCTTTTCGTTCCTCCTGCTGTCTTTTCGTTCTCGGGAACGGCGGCCTTGTTTGCACCTGACTCTCTGGCCCTGGAAGCGTTCTCCTCGATGTAGAATTTCTACTGCGATACGTTGTAAGTGGTGTTTTCCTCTTTACCAAGTTTCTTTACGCGGCGGCTTTGCTTTCTTGTATTTCTTAAATGCTGGAGTCTGAAAGTTTTCATTTCTTCTTTTCGGTACCGTCGCATGACTTGTAGAAGGGCTAGGTTTCTCTTCAGTTCTCTGCTTCTTGGGTGGTTGTGGAACGGGTGACGTTACTTCTGGACCTTCTACTTCTTTTACGCTTTTGAGTCCTGCAAGAAACTTTTAAGGATTTCAAAATCATTTTGATTATATATTTTTTCACCTGGTCGGGACTTGCTTTACAGATTTCCCCTCTCTCGTTCTTAAGGTACAATACGACGACTCCCTTGATTTCCTTTACATACATAGGGCCTTCAAATTTTGGAACTTTGCTTTTTGCAGTAAAATTGTCTGGGGCACTTTGATAAAGAAAATTTCCGCTTCAACACTTTATCCTCCAACTTTAAAATCTGCTTCACGGCGTTTTCTATCATTATATAATTTTGCCTATTTCTTGCCGTATCCGAGCTTTTAACCGCCTGGTCAATGAGTTTTGCCACATCTTTCTGTGTTTAAATTCTTGCTCTCTTTGTTGCACAAAGAATAATTTATCTAATGGCGTAATTAACTTTCGTCCTAAAAATAATTCTGCTGGGGTTTTTTCCCGTAGTATCGTGATTTGCCGTTCTTAAAGCATAAGCTAACTCATTTATGTAGCCATCCCAGCGCTTGTGATGTGTGCTAACATAACTTCGAATTATTTTTTACAATGTTTTTATTAACTCTTTCTGCTATGTTTGCCTGTGGTCTATACGGAACCATTTTGATATGGCGTATGCCAAGTCCAGTGCATATGTTTTCAAATATTTGGCTAACGAATTGTTTACCGTTATCGCTAATGACTTTTTTATCGGTGCACCGTATTTTAAAATGTATCTGTGTAAGAATGCATCTGCGACTGTTTTGGCTGACGCGCGTTTAAGTGGAACAATTTCTGTCCATTTTGAAAAATGATCTACAATTACTAAAAGAAAACGATTTTTATTTAACTCACTCTGGGGGAAAGGACCAAGAAGATCTATGCCTAAAATTTCATTCGGAAATGTAGCGCGAATGCTATTTAAGTACCCGGCCGGGCTGTAATTAATATCATTTATTAACTGACATTGATTGCAGGACCTGACATACGCAGTTACTATTTTGTATAATTGCGGGAAATATACCGCCTCGCGTACCCTTTTTAAAGTCTTTCTGACCCCTAAATGACCCGCTGTTTTCGCGTCGTGTAATTCCTTCAAAATGCTTAATCGAAGCGAGGCTGGGATGACTGGTTTGTACTCGAGATTTTCGTTTGTTGTTTTCGTATAAAATAATAAATTATCTATTATTTCATAGTTTTCTGCTCTATTTCTTATCGCATCGATATCTGTGTGCTCAAAGCTTTCGGGGTCTTTCAAATATGCATAGATACTTCCAAATTCAGGATCAGCTTTCAATTCAGCAATAATCGTATCTCTAGAATCTAAAATTCACATTCAACACAGCGCATTTAAGTTGATTGCCTTCATCGTCCAATTTTATACGAGAAAGTGCGTCAGCTACATTGTTTTCCTTACCCGGTTTATATTTGATTATGAGATTATATTCTTGGAGTTTTAAAGCCCATCTTATTAACCTGGGCGTTAGGTTTTTCCCCGAGTAAAGTCTACCAACAGCCGCATGATCCGAAAAGACTGTTACTGGCGCTTTGCCGAAATAAACTCGAAATTTGTGTACAGCCATTAATACGGCTAATGTTTCTCTCTCTGTAGCTGTATAATTCCTTTGTGTATGATTCAACGTTTTACTAAAAAATGCCAAAGGATGGCTATTTTGCATAAGAACCGCACCCACAGCATAGTCCGACGCATCTGCTGCAATTTCCAGGTTTTCGTCCCCCTCCAGGAATTTCAAAACAGGGGCATTGGTAAGCGCTTCTTTTAACCTTTCGAAAGCGGTATTTGCTTCTGCTGTCCACGTGAATTTACTTTTCTTTCTTTTAATTACTAACAAGGGTTCAACAATATTAGCAAAATCTTTTATGAATGACCGATAATAAGAACATAACCCAAGGAAAGAAGAAAGTTTCTTGGCGGTGTTGGGAGGTGGGAAAATTCTTGATTGCTTTTATTTTTGAATCTTGAGTTTCTATACCCTTTTGCGAAATTTTATAACCCAGATATTTAAGTTCTTTAGTTGCGAACTTGCATTTTGAGGCGTTAATTGTAAGACCGGCCTCTTTTAATAATTTAAAAACTTCTTCTAGATCTTTAATATGTTGTTCCAACGTACTACTCGTTATAATTATATCATCTAGATAGATTAAAGTCGATTTTCCTAGGACAGGCTTTAGAACAATGTCCATAGCTCTCTGGAATGTTGATGGGGCCCCACACAACCCAAAGGGCATGCGTAAAAATGCATAAGTGCCCGATTTTGTTATAAACGCGGTTTTATGTATGTCTTCGGGTCTCATAGCTATTTGATAGTAGCCAGACGTTAAGTCCAAAGTAGTCATGTATCTGTAGATTTAATCTTTCTAATAATTTCCTCTATAACCGGCAAAGGGTAAACTGGGAATTTAGTAATACTATTAAGTTTTCTGTAATCGATAGCAAACCTCCAAGCCCTTTTATCCGAAGGAGGAAACTCGTTCTTTTTCCTACATAGTACGACTGGACTCGCGTACTCACTATTTATGGGCGTTATTATTTTGTTCTTTAACATTTCCTGAATATGTTCTTCGATGATTGGTCTTTTGTTTATCATAGCGGTAAGGTTTAGTCCTACAGGGTTTGTCGGCAGTTAACTGTATCTCATGCGTAACTATTTGACAACTACCAGGCCGTTCTGAAAACAAGTTTGAAAAAGTACTCACCACTTGCTGGATGGCTTGACTTTCATGGTCATTCAAATGGCTAAGGTCAACTTGCGGTTGTTCCACTGGTTCCACCACCCTCCGATCCATCTCCAGCACAATAGAACTTTCCTGAAAATTCAGTTTGGCCTTCGCGGCTTTTAAAAACTCCATACCTAAAATAAGTGGACTTTGCAAATTTTTACTACAAAAATTAATACTTTGAGGCTTTCATCTTTTACCTGTATTTTAATGATAATTTTCCCGATACATTGACAGTTTTTCCTTGCGCCGCTATGTAATTTCTGTGTTTTTATTTTTAAATAATCGTAACCTATTAAAAAAATTCTTCTTGAAAAATGTATCACTCATAAAATTACCTTCTGCTCCTGTATCGATGAGGGCTTCTACTGGTACATCGCCAACCAGGACTTGTATAATTGGTAATGTGAGTTTCTTTACGATGACCGTATTTAAGTTATCTTTTGAGGGTTTTTTCAAAACTTCCGGGGTCTGGAACCTCGCTTTCACAGGCCCCTCTTTCCTTTCAACTTCTGCCTTCTGGGTACGCGGACGGTTTTTTTTTCAAATTTCCTTTTTGGGCCTTGACCTTCGAGCTTCGATGAGTTAGCTTGATAGCTCTTTCCCCCATAAGAGCGGTTTGCATTTCTGGTCTGCTCATTTGAAGATTGCCTTCGGATACTTAGAGAATACGATACCCCTGTAGCTTTTTCCGCTATTCTCCGATTTTGAAACTTGACCGCCAATTCGAAGAGCTCCTGCAATGTGCTTGGGTTTCTAATTTCAAAGTAATCTTGAACAGCAGGTAACAATCTTGGTAAGATTATTTCAATAATCTCCGCGTCGGGTTTCTTCCCATACAGCATATCCGTCAGCTTAATTTTTCGCAGAATAAAGTCCGTCAACTCTTCTATATTCCCGTTGATAAAAACTATATAGTCCGGCTTCTAGCCTTGCTCGATCTTTCACTATGGGGAAGGCCTTTAATAACGATTTTTTTGAAATTTTCAAATGTATATGTCTGGCCTCCGAATTCCCCTAATAAAAATTTGCCTATATTCTTCCACCATAGCGCGGCCTGTCCTCTTAGTGCAGATGTGGCGATGGCAACTTTTTGTCTTTCAGGCACAGGGTAGAGCTGGAAGTGATTGTCGAGGCTTTCTAGAAATATCGCCACCGAATTTTTTCCATCGAAATTGACGTTTGGCTTGATTGACGCTCTCAACGTCTGGACCAGGTATCCAAATCCTTCCAATTGGCTTGCCATTTCTTGTTGTTGTCCAGCAACTTCCATCCAATTTTCGGCCATTTCAGTTCGACAAGTGTTTGGGCGCCAATGTAAAGTTGCGCGCTTCCAACCTGCACGCAACAAAGTGGTGACTGCTGAGAACTGAAAATAGACCAAAGTCTTGAGAAGGGTTTAAATCCCTTTTTATTCAACTTTAGAAATTACGAATGCGTGCTCTTGACGCTCACAAACTACGCCGACCCGGCGTAAAATAAAAATAAGAAACTGAAAAGAGATAATAACAAGTGACTATGAGGCTCTCTAAACGTAACTAACCTCACCGCGTTCTAAAATACCGGTTAGGAAAAGCCTGGTAAGGAAAAGCCTGGCGCCCGTCCTGATCGTGGCCATGCTATTCATACACCCAAGAGGCAGTAAGTACCTCCTGCTTATCACTCATACCTAATATTTAGTTTTGATTTTTGCAATCATTTAGAAAATAGAAAGAAGACACTAGGCTTTTACATCACCTTATATGCAATGCGGATAGACACTGGATGTGTTTAGTACGATTTATTTCCAAACTCTTGCTATGATGTAATGTAAATATTGCCAGATTCCTTAAACCAAGAGTTAAAAAAAAAGTTTTATTTTAGAGCATACTACTAAAGGCGAACGGTATTCGTATTATCTCAAAAGCTGGCAATATGTGTTAATTTCGATAATCATTATTCAAGTTCATTTAAATTTGTTTTTTTCCTTCTTTCTCTTTCTCGAATCTCCAGTATGCTACGTAATCCAAATTATATTTACTACAGTTTTGGAATCGATTTTTTTTTCAAACATATTGCCTCAAATTAATGAAACTAATTAGTTTGGTCCGATCAGTATTATTTGAAAAGAGTTGCAAAACCACTTACTTTTGTTATTGCCTGGAAGAAAATGTCTCCTGACACTTTTCCCGCAACAAGATAAATGGGAGCACTAGCAGCAATAGCTCCATGTATGATGTTGGGATACTTAAAACGCATGTAAGCAGCTAACATGCCTCCATAACTAAAATAGAATGAATATAATATCAGTAAATCTAATGTAATATATCAAGAAAAAGTACTTTCCTGGTTAATAATGCCTGTTTTAGAAAGGAAGCATCGAAAGGCTAACAAATTTTACTTTCAGTCGAAAGAAGTAGCCAAATGCCGTTTTGAAGATTTCCGCTATTGTCGACAATTGTAAGTTTCCGCTTTTTGATCAGTAACTTCGATGCTTCGAGCTAAGACGCTTGAATTTGTAATATTTATTCACTGTTTTTTAATATTGTACTATTTTACTGATATATTAGCGAAAAGTCCCAGCTTAATTATCAGCAGAAAAAAAAAAAAAAAAAAAAAAAAAATCATGTTCTTCTCACTTAAACCATAAAATTCAGTTCAACATCAATATAATAAAATAATTTAAAATGAGCAAATCTCTAGAATTTCGGATACACAGTCTCGCGCGTTGGAGATAAAAAAATATTTTTTTTCGTAGTGTTGCCATTGCTCGCTTTGAAATGGTTTAGTTTGTTAATCAAAAATTCGTTGAAGTGTTACAAAATATGAAATCGATAAGAAAACAAATTTAAAATTCAAATTAGGGCTTCTACATGCCCATATTCTTTGGAAGATTGCGTTATTCAAATTTTGATGGCTCTTAGGTACCGTTGTTTTATCACAAAACGCGAAACATACATACATTCATGCAGTTTCTTCGTTATTTAATTTCTTTAAATATAACACAGGACGATAATATTTGGTGGCAACAATTTGAAAAGTGAAACAACTCTTATCGTGAATTGACCCAAAATGCCAAAACGAAATTAATAGTCCTTCTGGGAAAATTGCCCCTTTGGACTAAAAATCTGAAAAAGTTCAGATTTTAATAGTTGCTCGAAAGGATTTGTCAAAGATTTTTTTCCTCTCTGTCTGAGTTCGCAGTCTACCAATCTGCTGTTGCACTCTTGCTAATCCATTTCTTTTTGTCTTTTTAGCTTTATCAGTAAGCTTCATTTTCTTCGCACTTGCGCCATGTAGAATTCAACAGCAAAATTTAAGAAAATTCATAGCAATATATACTTAGAATTCTTGCAGTGTTAGGTGCTGGCATGAATTTGCCTTTTTTTTTTTTTTTTTTTTTTTTTTTTTTTTTTTTTTTTCGTTTTTATTATCAATGTTCACTTTCTTAGCAAGATGTCTTCGAAATTTTTTTTTTTTTTATCTTTCTATATATTATTAAAGTTTTGTATGTTAAGTTTATTAATTAAATATCATGCCTTTCTCATTTAAGCCACATAAAATTCAATTCGATAACAAAAGCGCAAGTTATTTAAAAAGACTATATATTTAGAATTTTTGATGAACAGTCTCGCGCGCTGGAGATAAAAATGTTTTATTCCGTAGAGTGTTGCCACCTCTCGCTTTGAAATTGTTGAGTTTGTTAAACAAAAATTCGTTAAAGGTTTAAAAAACATGAAACAGACAATAAAACAAATTCCAAATTTGGCTTCCAGGTGCCCATGTTCGGGTGGAGGCTATGTTATTCAAAATTTGATGATATTTTTTCACAGTGCGAGAAACATACATACATTCGAGCAGATTCTTCTTTATTTAATTTCTTTAAATATAATACAGGGCGATATTATTTGGCAGCAAGAATTTGAGAAGCGATACGCCGTTTATGGTGAACCAACGCAAAATTCCATTTCGAGAATAATCTCCTTTTTTGGGCTAATAAATCCGTAATATTAATATTTCTTTCTTTAATTTAAAAATATAATTTTGCTAATCTTAAGATGTTGTCAGCAGGTAGTCTATTTAGCGCAACAACGTAGTATCTATCTTTGACAGATGGTACTAACAGGAAAGTGTCAAAGAAAATGAAATTTAAGTTGGAAAAAAATGCCAGTAGAAAATATTAAAAAAATTAGAGACAAATTTTAATATCAGCAGTCGCTGTGTGCAAAATAAGCCATGTTCTAGCTATCCTAGATTTCACAAAAAAGAGCTAAATTTCAAAATATTAGATTTTCAGTTTAGTGCAAGTTTTTTACTTCCTTGTACGAAGTAAAAAGGAAGTATTGTAATCGCGAAAAGTTTCAGGCAGCATACTTCAACGAAAATATCCATTTTGACCGCTATCGAATGCAATTTAACGATGTTTTTGCGTGATATCTGTACGTAAGGACAGAAAATAAAGAACTCTTTTCCTCCAAAAAAATTATAAAACTGCTTTAAAATTAATTCTGAAGAGAATTTTTCGTGGCGTCTGTACGAACGTATGTACGTACGTGCGTGCGTACGTACATATCTCGCATAACTCAAAAACGAGTAGCCTCAGAACGTTGAAATTTTGTATATAGGACTGCTATAACAAGTAGATGTGCACCTCGTATTTTGGTTGCAATCGGCCGAACCAAACGTATGTAAATATATTTATATATATATCCACTCTGTTACCTGGCTCAGTGATCTCAGTTTCTTTACTCTTATATATTTGTAAATTGTACATTTTTTTCTTTAAAAATGATTGAATTATGTTGTTTTTATCTTCCGGTTAAGGATTTTATGTCTTTAGTAAATCTGTGTGCAATATTTTTAGAATTATCAGTAATTTTAAAGTTGTTTAATTGCCGCTAAGCCTTTTTTAATGGCGGCCATTGATGTTTACGTTTGAAACAGGAGACTAGTGGATTTGTTGCCAATCTAGAGAAACTTAGCTTCGCAACAACAAAGATAACGCATTCATTTATTATTGCCAATTAAATCATGCTTAATTCTTTCTGGAATTTTTTCGGGGAAATAAGTGTTTGAGATTTACTTCGTAATTTTTAATATAGATATTTTGAGGTTTTCTGTACTTTTGCCTTCTCGCGAAGTGAGAACTGAATTAAATGAGAAATACAAAATCTGTATTTCAATCATCTGTGAAAAACTGTTTCTTTTTTGTTTTCTTTGCTTAATTTCTTTTATACATCGTTCTAGCTTTATTATAGTATTTGAATAGAACATGTGGCAACGATTAGATAATTCTATTCTTTAAATGATATAAATTTTGTGCATTATGAGTTATAATATGAACGAAATATGTAAGTTAACTGTTATATAATTATTGGATTATATAACAGTTAACTTAGTTTCCGTTATATAATTATTATGTAAGTTAACTGTTATATAATTATTAATACTGTTAAGAGAATCTAGCGCCAGACTGTCGCTATGGTAAACAAATATAAGAGTAAAATTTAAAGAATTCATTTATTCCATTGTGGTTTATGCGCTGTCGGCGAAGTAGATTTAATTCAATCCAATAAGTTTAAATGAAATGCAAGAAAAAATGCGTATAATTTAATATTCCAATACAAGGAAGTCATGTGTTGTACACATCAGATTTTTTATAACTGTTAACATGTTTTTATAAGAACTGGCACTTCATGACAATTATGACAGAAGAGCCATTTGCAAAAAGGAAAACTGTAATTACTGCAAACGTTCGAATATCTGCGCATCAATTATTGCTATTGTATACATTTATTAGTATAACTGTAATTGTAAATGTTTGGCTGTAATTATTATTTTGTTATTATTTGTTAAAACTTTCGTCAAAGACTGTTGTTTTAGTATTTACAAATATAGATGAGTTAATATTATGTGCAAATTACATTTCACATCACTTCGTTTAATTAACTTACCTGCCACCAAACGCTATGACTGGATTCCTCTCAACTTTAAATGTCTTCTTGAAACTCTTGAGAAAAAATGCGTAATCAGCAAGGGCTTGTTCAATGCTCAGAAAACCTATGGTGGGAACTTCAAAGCTGTCATTTCCAAATGGAAGGGATTTGCCGTAATATCTCTTAAAATAAAAAGAAAAGCCATGTTTTAAATTTTGAGCTCAAGCTTATGTGAGACACTGTTTAAAGAGAATTTATTTGCAATTTTGCATCTCAGCATTTGAATTGCAAAATTAAAATGCTACTTTTGTCAATTCTAGGCCAGTAAATACTCAGAATAATCAGTGCATTTATTTGTCTCTACTTTTTATAAATTTTTCTGTGAAAAATTTCATATATGACTTCGTAAACCTGTTCTATTAACCCGTCTAAATGAGGGTACAAAATTTATAAAAGCTTAAGAGAAAGTCCGTACATTTTCTTCCAGTGAAAGTGATGGCAGATGAAATCCAGTTTTTTCCGACGCGACAGAAACGTTCCCCGCTATATTCAAGACTAAAGGTGACAATGTTTATTTACGGATCCCGCGCCGGGATCGGAGGGTTAATACAATTATTAAGTGTAATTTGAGAACATGCGCACGATTTCAAAATTTGTTTATACTCATGCTTCAATTTTGGATTAAAAATTTTTAACAAAGTTTTCAGGATTTATTTACATGTTAGTTTCAAGTTTTGAAAGTAATTTAATACGTTAAATAACTACCATTTGTTACTACAGTCGAACTCCGATTTAACGAACTGAAAAGGACCGAACGTATTCTCTATAACCGATTCGATGACAAAAATATCCCAAGATTAGGTTCGATTAGGTAATTTGAATATGGGAAAGCTATGAGGATACTATGCCTGAGAAAAGTTATGCCTTCGGAGAGGACTTTCTGAGGGACACTGACTTGTATTCTCGTTACACATGGGGAAAATCACGAAAAGCAAACATGCAGTCAGGGTTGCTCTGGGTCTGAACTTAAGCCAGGTCGAACTACCAATATTCAACGGCCTTAATCATTCAGCCACTGGTGAGCCGATTAGCTCGCAAAATCGAGTATTGAATGAATCAAAATGATAACAATAATAATAACTGATTAACATTGTCCCACCTTTAGCCAAAGAACAGAATAATATTCAATCCAGGAAAAAACTCATATTAATTTTAATTGCAACTACCAATTATTACGTTAATAATTTTGTACGATAAGTTACTTAGCATAAATATCATGATTCCTTTTTATACTTGAATTAAACATTTGTAACTATGAATAATTACTTTATCTATAAAGAATATAAAAATAATGTTTTTATCTGTATGAAAAAGAAAAAAATATTGTCGAATTTATATTTCATTTTTACGTAATGCATACATTGTTGCAAAGGGGAGATTCAATAATGTTTGCTCGGAATATGCCTTGTGTTTCAAAAGACTAAAGAATGCAAAGCCCCCACTCGGACGACAGACTCTAAATAGCATTTACACTTAAAAAAAAAAAAAAAAAACTGAAAATTTTAGATTTTACATTACGCCCAAAGGGCTGTTTTTTTAACGTTTTGTGTGTTACCTTGTAGGGTTTATATTTATTTTAACTAACATTTATTTTAAGTTTAAAACTATCTTTCCTGTCAAGCCTTACTTTCCCTGGAATTGCCAATGCCAGAGTATGTAAATTTTAGTAGAACGCGCAAGGATTCAAATTGTCAGCGGAAGAAGTAATCTGAATTAAATAGAAGGGAAACGAGTTCGAAAGTGTGCTCTCTTGCTTCACGAGCGTGGAGGTGGTGGCTAGTTAGAAAAGAAATTGAAGAACCACGCGTTTCGGCCTGTGTGCTTGCCCTCGGCAGATTGTTAAATCTTTCAACGTAATATTCAGAAGTTTGCTGAATTGTCAGCGGTATCTTAGAACGCGGTTAGGTTAGTTACGTTTAGAGAGCCTCGTAATTAATCACTTGTTGTTATTCTTTTTTTAGTTTCTTATTTTTATTTTACCGTCGGGTTGGCGTAGTTTGTGAGCGTCAAGAGCACGCATCTGTAATTTCTAAAGTTGAATAAAAAGGGATTTAAACCCTTCTCAAGACTTTGTATACTTTCCAGTTCATAGCAGTCACCACTATTGTTGCGTGCAGGTTGGAAGCGCGCAACATTACAACCTTTATTTATTAAATATCATGTTCTTCGTACTCAATACATATTCAATTCAACAGCAAAATAATATTAAAATTAGCATATCTTTCGAATTTCCCATGCGCAGTCTCGCTCGCTGGAGATAAAAATGTTCTTTTTTCCGTACAGTGTTGCCATTTATTGCTTTGAAATCGTTGAGTTTGTTAATAAAAAATTCTCTAATGTCTGATAAAATGCAAATTCGATAATAAAACAAATTCCAGATTAGGAATTCGAGATGCCCATATTCTGTGGAGGATTACGTTATTCAAAACGTTTCAAACATTACGTTTGATGGCTCTAGGTACCGTTGTTTTATTGTTTTATTACAATGCGAGAAACATACATGCATTTATGCAGATTCTTCATTATTAAATTTCTTTAAATAGAATGCAGGTCTCTAGTATTTGGTGGCTACAATTTGAAAACTGAACCGACATTTATAGCTAATCAACGCAAAATACCGAAACGAAATTAACAGCCCTTTTGGGCTAATGCATGCCCATTCAGCTAAAAAAAAAAAAAAAAAAAAAAAAAAAAAAAAAAAAAAAAAAAAAAGATAAAGGTTAAAAAGTTTTCATTCTCTAAAAGACGAATCAGCTGTATAAAACAAACTCATTAAGATTCACGACATCCTCTTTCCCTGAACAGCGAAAATTTTCAAAATTTCCATAATAGTTTCAGTCTCTGTCAGAACTAAATAAATATGAATGGAATAAAATAACTCCTCCACCCTCTTGAAAGCTCTTTGGTTACATGGGCATAATATAAAAAGAATGTCATAGGTGTCCTAAGATTTGCATATTGTATCTGCATTCTCCTAGACTGGGTGTCATACTTGTTTCGCACAGTCTTCGTTTAGAACACAGAAAAAATGAGGTTGACATGAGATAAAAACAATGTAAAGCTTTTTTACTTTACGAATGGAATGTGGATTCTAACATTCTAAACGTGAATGATTTTAAAGGTTAGTAAATTTTTCGTTAAAAACTTGCAGGAATTCTGGGGAAAACATAAAAAAATTTCAGCCAAAGTTATCAGTACAGCTCGTTATATTCGATGTTTATACATTTGGAAGTTCGCTATAGCAGTAAAAATTAACATTATAGGAAATTTGAAAAGACCAAAAGTTTCATTCATTATATCCAGGAGTTCGCTTTAAGATGGGTGCGTTATAACGGGGTTCGAGTGTCATATGATAATGCACAAAAACATGATTTGTAGGCAAACGATTAAATTTCCAAGAGCTTAAATTTAATTTTTTTCTGCTTCTGAAAATTCCAAAATTTAATATTCGAATAATCGAAGGCAGTTGCCAAGAAATTTTATAAATTAGGTGTGCACAACATTCCATTTTCAAAATGTAGCGTAATTACGATCTAGAGAGATCAAAGATATTTCAAATCCCTTGCGTATACGCGTTTTACGATAAAATATCGAAAAAAATTTCTTTTTTACCCAACCCTTACTTGACGGGGTTCCAGTTAGTTGAATTTATGGTTTTAAATGGCGTTTTGCGGTCATTTCTGCAAGAAGGTCGAAATAACTTTCGTCCCTTTAAGTGTAGTAATGAGTTATGAATGGCAACTTTGGTTTCTATGGCAACAGGAACTCAAAGCAATTCCATGCATTGGAAGAGTTTAATGGATATCGCTTATTCATTTCAGCTTCTTTCAGTCAGCCGGAAGTATCATAGGTAAGCCTTAATTTCACATTCTTCACCCTTCTGTGTGAAAACACGAAGAAATCATTATTACTTCATTTGTTCAATTCAATACCGCAATAATTATACCAAATACTAACAAGTATAAAATCTTAGAACAAGAGATTAAAAATTTATCAGAAGTCTCAAGTGACTCTGTGCTGTAGAATCAAATATTTTCAAGCGCAATATTAAATTTTCAACGTGATTTTTTTTCTGTTAATGTAATAATGGCTGTTAATATAATAATGGCAATAATTTCTGCTAATGTAATAATGGCAATAATTTCGGCTAATTTAATAATGGCAACATCAAATTAAGCATATTACATTTTTATTGATGCAGCCGTAGACGTTTGAAATTTTATATTCACGAGTCTTTAAAAATGTGCTATTTTTTAACACTGGAAATTCTCTTCGATTCATGAAATCTCATCTGAGTATTTCTGCAAACGATTTATTTCTTGGCCTTTTTGTATTTTTAGCTGATTAGTTTAGATAAAAGGGCAAAATATCAGCTTAAATTTTGTTCAAAGAACATTTTAATTTTTTTTCATGATATTTAAAATTATTTTCTAATTTCTAAATGTTAATTATTTTAAATTTAATAATACAACTTATAGCTCAAAGAGTTTTTAGTTTAAGTAGTTGAACTGAATAAAAACTCTTTGATGTTTGATGCATTAAAATGAATATTACAATTACAGTCTTAGCTTTATTAGTGAATTAATTTGAATAATGAATGATATCCATAAAATTTTTTATCTTCTCTTATAAAAGTATTTTAGCATGTGTTTTAAAAGTTTATAATTAAAATTAATAGATGAATATAGGGATTCAGTGTTTAAATTCGCATCAAGGGGTATTTTATTAAAATAGCAATATAAATTTTCTTCCACTAGGAAACAGTATTTCGCCTATTCATTTTATATTGAGTGTTATTTATTTTGCTTTCTTTACCCAAATTCGTGTCATCATTTAAATAATAACAAAACTGTAGTGAAATTTCTGTTGATTTTCATTTCTACTACTGTATTTCAAATCAGCATAAATAAAGAGCAATTATTATAATTTATCTTCTAAATGTCTGTTAATTCTATTTGTAAACATCTGCGTGGTTTTTAATCACAAAAGTATCTGATATTTGATCGTCAAAGTTAGAATCTTTTTAAGAATGTTTTATAAGCTTATTTAAAGATGTTTTTAGCCGCATATAATGTAATATCTTTAACATAATATTCTGATTTTATGTTAAATACCTGGTTTA